TGTAATTGAAAGATGATGCTCCCTGCCCTGGCCTCCCTTTCACACAGGGATGCCTGTCTCCTCCTCCGAACCTGAGATTCCACCCCCTGCTTTCCAGCAGACAAAACAACTGGCCTTTTTATAGAGGCAGTCTGGAATTCTGAGTCACACCCTTCTCTGACTATCTGACCTCCCTTCTTCTCCAGGTAAGAAGGAATAGAGATCTCAATGAAAGAGCTCCATTGATAGGCCACAGGCATGAGAGCTGAGGCAACAGGAAGTACTGATACAGGCTCTGCTCTGCTTGGATGGCACAGGGAGCATAACTGTGTTTGATGCCAGCCATCTGGCCTACTAATTCCACGTATGCCACCTGGCAAAAGGAAGAAGAAAGGAAACCGACCGTGGTCAAGACCAGTTACTTTTCCCTGTATTACATGTATAGTTTACCTCAAGGCTCCTATGATGAAAAAGATGGAAAAATAGATAACACACAATAACATTCTCAGATACATACCATATGCCACCTATAGTGTGCTCAGTAAATCATAACCCATGATAATGGCCATGAAGGCAATTTAAGAAGTTAAGTTCAATACTTTAAAAAGAAAACAGACAAGACCGGAATAAAGTAAGAAATACTGGATTGTATCCCACATCTTGTTTTGTGAAACTTATGTTTCACTTATATTCATTTATATTGAATATAAATGTATTGGATGTGTATTGGACCACAATATAAAATGAGCCCCTTATTGAGGGTAGAGGCTAAACATTTTCTTATCTATTTCATAACTGTTCCACTGAGGTAAAGGCAGTTACTAACCCAACATAACTAAATTAAATAGCTAAAGCTACTTCCCCAGTTTCATCTGTGCCCCATCGCCCAGTTTCTGCTCCCCAGCCTAACAGCCTCCTTTCTGTTCCTCTTTCCTTACTGGACCATGTGCTATTCTCTCAGTTCAGAACATTTTCCTCACACCTTTCCCCAGCTCTCAAAAAGCTTGTTCCTTATCTGCCAGGTTTCAGACTAAGTCTTCATCTCTGCTGCAAAGAGTCTTCCTGGACCCCCAGTCTGAGCAGTCCCTTGACTGCTTATGGTGACCAGGACACTTATTTCCTTGTTTGCTATCTGCCTTCCCCTCCAGAACTCCAAACACAGGGCTAACATCTGCTATGCTCACCAATACATACCCAGGAGCCATGAAAGCACCTGGCATGGAGCAGGCACTTCACACTTGTAAAGTGAATAAGAAACATCCCAAGTTCTCTTATTGGTAAATGGCAGAGCCAGGACTCCAGACTCTGTCTGACTAGATAGCTTGCTCTTTACCCCTGCATAGTGTTGACACTTGATAACTGCCCATCACTTCCCTAGCATATACCACTAGAAAGTGTCAGCACCAGTACAGAACCCAGGCATGTCTCGCAACCAAAGCCCATGCTTTCTCTAGCATGTCACGGTGCGAGACCATGAGTGGCTCACAGGGTCAGTCTCCTGTGGTGAACTAAGAATATGAAGGGAATAAATGAATGTGACTGCAAAACCTTCAGACCTGAAGCAATTCACCAGTGACTAGAGAAATACCAGAAATCAGATAAGTACAGGATTTGTATTGAGTCCAAAAACAGTTTAGAAATAAGGGGTGAGGGGCTCCCTAAGGTAAGTAATATTCTGGGAAGGAGGACTAGAGATACTGTCAGAGATAGCAGAAAAACTTGCAGGGGGAACAGAGAGCTCAGGTTGCAGTAATCACACTTTAAGTTACTTCTGATAGGCAGCACTGAATTGTAATTCTGAGACAGAGAATAGAGAGAGAGAAAGGAGCCCCAAAAGGCTCCAGCCAGGACCTGACCTGGAAGCCAGAGCAGCTGGCTATAGGAACACTTTGGCAATACTGCCACCTTGTGGCTGAGGAGCTCCTGGCCCACAGGAAAAACAATCTACAGATAGGTCAGTTTGAGGGTTCATTCTTCAGTGGTCCTCATAAAGCACTTAATATGGGGCTGTTGGGGCTTGCAAATGGCCCTAACATGGCTCCAATCTTCAAGGACCTCTGTTCTCTACATCCCACCTTTGATCGAACCCTCTTTTTAATCTCCATCTTTTGATAATTTCTGTCCCTTCTGCTATCATCCCAACATGTCTAAGAGCAGGGATGACTGCTAATTCATCTGAAGCTAACAAGCATAGGATCCAGCACATCAGAATAATAATAGCAACTACCATTTAATAGGGGCTAAGTGTTTCCAAATACATTACACTTTGGGTTCTCGCATTTCACCCATGAAGTACCTATGAGACCACCAAATGAAAATATCAAGGAGGCATTTACTTCAATATGAGCTGGAGTTCTTGGAGAAGCCAGAGATGGAGAAATAAAGGTGGGCATCACCAGCACACACATGGTGTTTTCTAGAGACTGGTGCCTCTCAAAATTTAATGTATATATGACTCACAGGGGAATTTTGCTAAAATGCAGACTCTTTCAATCTGGAATGGAGCTGGGTATTGTTTCTATCAAGCTCTAGGGAGAGCCCACACTAATGATTCCATAGACCACATTCTAAGGGACAAAAATCTGTAATAGGCTGGGTGCGGTGGCACGTGCCTATAATCCCAGTGGCTAGGGAGACTGAGGTAGGAGGATAGCGAGTTCAAAACAAGCCTCAGCAAAAGCAAGGGCTAAGCAACTTAGTGACATCCTGTCTCTAAATAAAATACAAAATAGGGCTCAGTAGTAGAGTGCCCCTGAGTTCAATCCCCAGTACCCCCCACCCAAAAAAAAAAAAATCTGGAATAGAAACTATAGCTAGAAGGTCACATCTGACTCACTGCCCATTTGTACACAACTCAGCAAACTAAAAAAGGAGTGATATTTTCATTTGTAGAGGGTGAAAAAAGAGGAAGAAGAGAAGATAAAGAGGAGGAGTCTGAAACCATCTATGCCTCATCATGAATAAAATATTTATTCTTTGGTTCTTCACAAAAAATGTTTACCAATTCAATCTAGAAAGTCACCCTGGGAGAGGATATATAGATAAACAAGAGGGAGACAAGAATCAGGTCCAGGCTCTATGTCTTCCAAACCCCTAGCCCTACTTTGAGTAAAAAAGGCAAGAGTATAAAGCACAGCACATATTGATAAGAAGGCAGAGAAAGAGAAGCTTCCATCTGAGGCTCCCAGGTGTGCAGGGGTGGTCCTGCAAAAAGGGCTATATAGACAAGCAGAGCTCAGAACAAGAAAGTGGACCTTGGAAAGTCAATAACTGACTGCCTATTTCAGTGTTCACCTTGGACAAAGACAGAAATAGAAAGAGAAGTGACCACTACCACCTGTGTGCAGTGCCACAGAAGTACTGAAAAAATAAAAAGGAAACCTTGTAGATTCTACAGGATTGATTTGAGCTGCAGAACCTTCTGAATTTTGGCTGAGGATGGGGAGAGGAAGTGGAAGGATTGATGGAGGCAAAAGAAAGGGACTGACAGCAAAATAACACCCCAGAGCCTGTAGTCTGGGGGCCTGTCCAAGCCATATTTGGCTACAGTGCCTTCTGTCATGCTTCAGTTAAGGAATACATTCATTTAAATGTCAATGCCTGAGAAAGTAAATATAGCTGTCTATTTCCATCAACTTGAACCACTGAATCTGGCTCTCTTTCAATGAATACTAGGCTCTTTTGCTCTCTGTTGTAAAAGATTTGCTTTTCTCACATCAAGTTTTCACATATATTTCCAAAGGACTACAGTAGCACCCTTTCATCAGGGTACAGAAAAGACTGCATCAAAAAAACAGGAAGATATCTGTAAAGGCAAATGGCTCTAAAATGCTAGAGGACAAATAAGAATAGAAAGATATGACAAAGTAATCATATGAAAAAAACAGATCCCAAAATTTCCTGGCTGAGAACCATTAAGGTCAACCAGTCTTCCTCTTGTTTACAGCAAAGCTGCATATAAAACCTAACCATCTAACTAGTCAGTGGCACAGGCCTGTAATCCCAGCGACTTGGGAGGCTGTGGTAGGAGGACTGCAAGTTCAAGGCCAGTCTCAGCAATTTAGGAAGGCCTTAACAATTTAGTGAGACCCTGTCTTAAAACAAAAAATAAAAAGGGCTGGGATGTGGCTCAGTAGTTAAGCACCCCTGGTTCAAAAAAAATGAAACAAAACAACAACAACAAATCTAACCATCCAGAGGGGGGAAAAAAGCATGTGCCATGCTTGGTTTTGGGTATAAAACATTCTCTTCTTGATAAATTAAAAAATGTTTGCAATCAAAAACAAATCTCTACTCGTCACCTATGAGTTCCTGTCCTTCTCAAGCCCATCCTACTTGATAAAATTGTTTGTCTCCCCTACAACAATGGATTCCTTCAGAGAAGTGACTATCTTTGCAGCACCCAGCACACTCTTACACCAATCTACTGAAAGATAGTTCTCCTGCTACCTACTGGCTGTGTGATTTTGGACAAGTTTCTTAATCTTTCAGAACCTCAGTTTCTTCATTGTGAAGTCCTTTCACAACAGGATTGTTTTGAAGATTAAACGTGCTAATACATGCGAAATACTTCACATGCTGGTTATTAAGACAGTTATGTTTAATAAGTGCTGGTAATTATTATCATTCAATAATAAAATGAATCTATTATTCCAGTCTACAAATCACACGTTTCCCCCCAAACATACCACAACAGAAAGGCTTTCTCAACCCTGACAGTACTGACAGTTCTTTGTTGGTGGGGACCTTTCTTATACCTTATAGAATGTTTCATAGCATTCCTGGCTTCTATTCACTAGATACCAATAGCACACACACATACTCCCAGTTCTAACAACAAAAACTGGATTCAGAGATTGCCCAAATGTTTCCTGGAGGAAAAATTTCTCCCTCCTTCATTAAGAACTATCACAGTATTTAGAATATGGAAATCAGGCATAGAAAGTCTGGTCACCATTGCTCCTAGTTTCTCACCATTCCATCGTGTCCACACACAGCCACCTCAGTCATTATTTGCTTACCACTCAGTTGCCTTGGAGGGAACAGGTGATAGGTGCTGTAGATATCATTGGAAAATTGCAACTGGAGCTCAGGGGTGCCTTTCAGAAGCTGGGCGACCTGTTCTACCTGAAACGGTGTCTTCTCCAGGATCACAACAGCATCCTCTCCATTCCCATCCCCAGAATCCTCATTCACCTGTGGGCAGAGATACTATCAGTGGGCCAAGGCACAGAGCCACAGAAGCCTGCAGAGCAAAGGCAGACATTTCCAAGGCCTCTGAAATCACAGCATTTAGGATTTCCTGCCCTGTAGTCTTCTTTCTTAGGAAGTCTAGTCAATGGTACTGATGTTTTTCATTTTTTCTCTGGAGAAGGTGTCTTAACACAAATCTGTGTGGCAATTTTCATACCTTTCTTCCAAAAGATTAAAAAGCTTTACAGTTATCTCTTTTAGGTTCATAAGACCTTTCTCAAAATGAGGTGGAGGGGAATTAAAAGGCAGTCTGTGTAGATAATAAAAGACCTTGGATAGGAAGTTTGAAAGGAAAGGAAATAAAACACTAATACCATCAGGACACTTCTCCCGCCTCCAACCTGTTGTCAAGGTTACCTGCCTCCAGGGAATTGTTCCTCCCAATAAAAGTTGTTAATGAATACTCTCTGGGCTGTTCCCTGCCAGCCTGTACTCCTGGGGTGCTTAATCCTGGCCCTAGGATCACTCCACCTTTTGGTCTCCTAGGCAAGATAAGAGGTGAAGGGGGCATGAAAACAAAGGAAATCCAAAATCTATACAAGGGGCAGGACACCCCCACTTCTTCAGGCACCAACTTCCAACTTGGACTCCCTCCAGAGGAGTCTCTCTCTCTATTCTATCCTTTAAGTAAAACTTATTGCTCTTGCCTTGGGACTCAGATTCTCAAAAACGGTATCAAAACCATCCCCATTTTAGCAGAAAATACTGAGGTCTAGAGAAATTAAGTGACTAGTCCAAAGTCACATGAACACTTAGTGTTTAAACAGAAATTAGAATCTAAGTCTCTCAACTAACCCCTAACTCAAAGGCTCTCTTACCTTCAGCAGGTGATACACACTGAAGACAAGTGAGGCTGAGAAAACCAGATAGGGCCTTGTAAAAAACAAGAGACACAAAGAGGCACCGAGGATTAAACTCCTTGTTCCTCCCAAAGATGTGAATTCCTGCTAGTGATTCTGGGGAACCTGACCTTGGCTAGAACTTCTCACTAGTTTAAGATGGTCTCCATCTTACCTGAACCCCTGCTAGCCGTTGAGCCCAGTATTACAGCCAACAGGGTATGTCTCCGCACGGATACTCTGCAGTCCTGTAGATCAGGGATGGTACCTCTCAGCGCCCCAGCCAGTCCCTGATATGCACAAAAGTGCATGGTGTGTGGAAGTGGACTAGCAATTTAACACGCTGTCTCCTGTTAGACTAACGTCCTGTAAAGCAGGGATCCTATCTCCTATTGTCTTGACGCATTTCCAGGGACACGATCCAGCAACATTTACTGGGTTCCTAGCCAGAGTCATATATTGAATGATGGTGAATGGCGTGGGGAATTTAACACGGGGTTTTTAATCTGATATACTTTAAAAAAATTAGTTGACATTTCTAAGGAAAATTCGACCTAGATGTATTCATTCCTTTAATGCCACGAACAATCTTGACACCCCATGCATTATAGTAGCGCACTCCGACACCCCAAATAATGTGATTGGTATTTCCCGGCCGGGATGCGAACAAATGAGCCTCCAAGGCTATGACTGATTCCCTCCTTCCTGGGCCCCCATTTCAGGGTTGTCTAATGGTACCTTCCCGTGTAGGAAAATGATTTTGTCCCGCGCAGATTCCCTCAGCACTTTTTGCACTCTAAAGCCGGAGAACGGTAAGCGAACAGGAGCAGAAGTACCATTTCCAACTCCTGTTTCCTTTTCTCCTGTGCTGGGGGTTTCCGCCTCTGCGTCCGACTCGCGCTTTCTTTTGGGCTGAGGTGCAGTGTCCGCCATGCTGCTAGGAAGGAGCTGTGCGCCTGCGCGAACTAGCCGCTAGTTCCGCCCCTCGCGGCTGCTCCTCCAGGCCATGCGGGGCTGCGACTTCAACTCCCGGCGTGCTCAGTGCTGGCAGGGCTGCGACTCCAACTCCCGGCGTGCTCCGCGGCGCAATTCACTAGGGTTCCCCTGTGGGGCGGATCCCACTGAGGAGCGCGAAGGAGCTTTTTAAATCCATGTCGCTTGCCGACCTTGAGAGTAGGGAAAGGAGGACAGCAAGATCCTAAAGAGGCGGGTGCGCAGTGGAGAGAGCCCATTTCCCCACCCAGCGCTCGGGGTCTGGAGCCGGAAGACCCCTTTGGACCTGTGAATGCTGGATGCCATGTTTGAATCCTGAGGTTTTAGAAGCTGACTAGTGACGGTGGAGGGAATGTTTCTGAAACAAATCTGTGAGCCCACTTTATTTCTTGGTCAATTTTTTAAATACGAGTACTTGAACCATTTCCATTTTTCTTCCGTTTTTGTTATTTTACAGAATTTTCCTTCATGACCAGTTCTTTTCTTAATGGACTTAGCACTGTGGGCTGAAAAGAAAAGTAAGCGAACATGGCCCGAGGTGTCATTTTCATCACCTGCTTCTAACTCCCTACCCCCAACTAGCCAGAAGGTTCTGCCACCTCTCAAATTTTGCCTTTATTTCTGCAGAGCTACCCTGGAATGCGATTTACTCGGATGTGAGACAACTTTGGCAGTTATTGACATTAACAAGATGCAATTTTCAGTCAGTTTTTGGCCAGTAACAAGGTGTATCATGTTTTAATGACAAATTGATTTTTGTATTTTTTTCTACTAGAAAGATATGTTGGATAAGAGAAATTGGTTTTGTGAAACGGAGGGCATTATTATAAGGGGGAATTAGAATTTGAAGCAATTATTTGCAACAAAAAACAAGTTGCCTGTATACATTCCCCACCTACAATAAGAGTTTATAAACTGTAGGAGAACTGGGGAATGTAGTTCAGTGGTTGAGCACTTGCCTAGCATGCACAAGGCCCAGCATTTAAGTTCCAGCTCTGCAAAACAAACAACAATAACAAGAAAAAAACTATATGCAAGACTAAAACAAAATGTCTAGGAGAGCCAATGGCAGTAACAAAACCTGCTCAACTCTAAGGCCCTGATCTTATGAAAATTTCTGAGCATTTTTTCCAAGTTTGAAACATTTTAGTTTGGAGATTTACAGCCAGATATAAGAAAATTAGCTTACTGTCTCTTTTTGTACTTCTAGGGTCCTTCTGGAATATCCAAAATTAGTTTGAGGTCAGAAGCTTAATTTTGATTTTTAGGAATTTTGTCAGTTATACAAATTAGGATTATAGATCACTGTGAAAAAGAGTCATTCATTTAACTGAAGTGATAATTAAAAGACTTTAAAAGCAAATATGGGAAGTTACATAGTAATAGGAAAAAATTAAAAAGTTTTTTCAAGTAATAAAAGGCCCAATAAAGCATAAACAAGGAATCATCCCAATTAAAAATAATCAAACCTCTTTTTTTACAATTCATTCAAAAAGTGAACAAAAATATCAACA